AGGTCGTTTGTCTCATGTGATATGTGGTCTGTTAATGCCTGAACCATCAGCCAATCAAGGACCAGGGCCCTGAGGTCTGATGCTGTGCCCCCTCTACTCCCCAGCTGGGCTGGTGGCTGTTGACAATTACACGAATTTGCTCACCCTTCACAGGGGTCCTCAAACTTTTTAAACAGGGGGCCAGTTCACTGTCCCTCAGACCGTTGGAGGGCCGGACTATAGTTTAAAAAAAAACTATGAACAAATTCCTATGCACACTGCACATATCTTATTTGAAGTAAAAAAACAAAACGGGAACAAATACAATATTTGTATTTGCATGTGGCCCGCGGGCCGTAGTTTGAGGACCCCTGCTCTAGTATGTCAAGGCCTGTATCTCTCACCTAAAATATTATAAAAATACCTCCCATCTCTCAAGTCACCTATATCCTCATTTTCTAAGTGCATCTCTTCTTTGCATAAAAACTGGGTGATACTCAGTTCTCTCAGGCCACCGACCCATCTCCTGCAGCAGATTTGCACTGGGCACCTGCTGAGTACTCGGTATATTAGAAAGAGGAGTGGGTGTGGGGCCTCCTCAGGGAACGCACTAGCGGCACAGAGGGGGGACCTGGGCAGTGGCTGACCTGTGAGAGGGAAGTGCCCGGTGCCGTAGGGTGGCCCTTCCAGGCTCAGTGGGGGCTGGCTGAGGGAAGGGTGGCTAAGCTTAGGGCTAGCGTATAAGTAGGAGTTTCCTTGGATGAGGGCAGAGTGTGCAGCAGAGAGTTGGGAACTGCACGTACAGAGGTCCAAAAGGGACAGAGACTATGGAACATTCTAGATAGAAGTTCTATGTGGACTGCAGAGGGAGAGCAGCAGAAATGAGGCTGGGAAAGTAAGCAGAGACCAGGTCCCGTGGGGTCTCATAAACCCTAGCCGACCTCAACCTAAGAGTGAAGGGAAGACGGGAAGGGTTTTAAGGAGGGAAATGGTGATAGGGGGCTTGTTCTAGAAAACTCACTGTTGGTATCTAGAATTTATAGGCGATGCTACAAATTAGTTTTTAAAAGGACAGCCCAAGTGGAGACTTAGCAAAACAATGAAGACACTGGCAATTCACAGAAGGGGAATAAGCATGGCTTGTGACGTGGTTTTGCTTTGCTGTAGACTGTCAGTCTTTAAGACAAACCGTGGTGCCTCATGCCTTGGCATGTTCTGTTCCTCTGCCTGGAGTCCCTGCTCCCACCTCCTTGTCCCTCCCTGCACAGTGCTGCTCCTTTAAGCCTCAGTTCCTGCCTGGCCATGAGCCTGCATGACCTTCTCCGCCCACCTGCCTCGTTCTGTCGTATCTGCACAGGATGACCCAAAGCCACTGTGGCCCTGAGGACTCAGAGCTGTGCAGCTCTCTCACCCAGGAGGGCGGGAGACGTGCTATCCTTGGCTGACTGGCCCAGATTGCATTGTACTATACAGCCCCCAGCGAGAAAAGTCTGTCTTCGACAATTCGATGGAAAGAGCATTTGTTATGTAGCTTCATTCAGATGGTGGCATCACAGTAAAACGGCTGGGGAATTCAAACTATACCCCAGCATACAGTTCCTGGACGTCGGGGATGGGGAGTGCTGAGAGCTGTTCCCAGGACGCTGCACCATGAGCCCCGCGGGACCAGGTGCCGTCTCCTTCCTCTCAGAGGCCTGCACCCCCGCCCCACTGAGCATTTGGTGCCCAGTAATTGTTCATGGGGCTAAATTGGCTGCTAATGTCTGAAGCTTGAGCCAGCCTTGGGGTCTGTCACTGTGGCTTAGACAGCTTTCTGTGATTAGCTAGGAAGCATTTAATTGGCATCCCCAGGGAGAAGGCAGGAAAACGAAATGCTCCCCTTGCAACGTTGAAGTGCTTCATTTTCTGATGCCTGAAGTTCAGTTGGCAAGTATTTCTTGCTTTCTTGACAAAAATACGTGAATGCTCAGCTGCAGTGGCTTTGCATGCCACCCAAACGCGTGCTAATAGCGCATCAGCCCCTTGTACATGTTGGATGCCTGCCCGTGTAGGGGAGATGTGCCCATGTTGCAAAATAAAGTTTCGTTTTGCAGTTGTTCTTGGCCACCATCTTGGTAAACGGTATGACTCCTGCAGAAGGTAATCCTGGGGGTGCTGGAATGAATGTTCATTACTCAGAAGTTGCACTGTCGATAGACTCTCTCCCAGAAAGATCCCTCTTTTGCCCAGGTTGTCCTGTGGCCTCTGTTCTCTGTTCTTTCCAGAGAAGGGGGTAAAAAATTGCTGCCCTGGGGACAGAATTCTAGGCACCCTGGTCCCCTGCAGCTCCCCCTCTGGGCCAACAAGCAGTTCTCACTGGAGGGCAGCTGTCTTCCATGCAGCGATGAGGGGTCAATTACATTCTCACACGGCTTTTGGGAAACTCGGGCAGAGCAAATCAATACAAAGTAAAGCAAAGCACTCGGTGTTTATTTGTGGGACAGAGCGGTGTTGTCCCTAGAACAGTGGTTCTCAACCTTCCTAATGCCGCGGCCCTTTAGTACAGTTCCTCATGTGGTGGTGACCCCCAACCATAAAATTATTTTCGTTGCTACTTCATAACTGTAATTTTGCTACTGTTATGAATCGTAATGTAAATATCTGATATGCAGGATGTATTTTCATTGTTACAAATTGAACATAATTAAAGCATAGTGATTAATCACAAAAACAATATGTAATTATATATGTGTTTGCCGATGTTCTTAGGCGACCCCTGTGAAAGGGTCATTAGACCCCCAAAGGGGTCTCGACCCACAGGTTGAGAACCGCTGCCCTAGAAGGGCAGCATCCAAGATCGCTCAGCCACGGCGGGATATCATTGCCCTGCAGAGTTGAGCTTCAAGACGTTGGAGGGGAAAACCCTCGTCTGCCGCTAATACTGCGTGTCCGTGTTTCTTCATTAGCGGCGCTGGCGGAGATCACAGAGATGGTGGCCCAGCTCCACGGTACGATGATCAAGATGGAGAACTTCCAGAAGCTGCACGAACTCAAGAAAGACTTGATTGGCGTCGACAATCTTGTGATTCCAGGACGGGTAAGCAGCTGCACCCTCTCATGCACTGGAGGCCAAGCCAGTAAAGCGGCACTTAAGTGACTTACATTTGCACGGTTTGAATACAGATACTCCAAGTTAAAATGTCGTCCTTCTGAAGTGGCTTCCTTCCACCCGGGGATAATTGGGGGGAAAACCTTGAATATCACATTCGGAAATTTCTTGTTAGAAGGAGATAAAAGCAAGCCTTTATGAAGTAGATGAAGTATCCTGCTTTTTCTCCTTATTGGTTGATGTGTTAATTTCCTTTTTTTCCCCTGCCATGTTCTAAGATGATTTGAGATAGCTTATTTTGTGTATTAAAATGTAGGTAAGTGAAAAAGGAAGATAAAAATTTTTAATTGGGTAAAATAGTGCTAACAAAGGCAGAGGAAAAGCTAGTGCGTGAAATCATGCTGTCAATTCCCATGTAAGTATGGAAACTATTTTTAAAAGATACACTTTTCTGTACATAATGTAATTTTAACTAGGAATTAAAATGACATTTGAGCCACAGCCTGATTCTGGGAGAGCTGCAGCTTCACTTGTGCGGTGGCCTCGCCGAGCAGCCCTTCATGAGATGCAGGCCGTGCAGGGTGAAGCAGCCTCGCTGCACAGACACGCTTCCTCCAGACCCATGGGAATGTTCAGGATACAGCACAGCCTGCCTTTTTCCACTTCTCTTCCCAAGAATCCAAACTATTCGCCAGGTGGTACATCTCACCAGATCTCTCCATGAGCTCTTTCTCCTACAGCTCCCCGATTTTGAACTCTCCATCACCCAGGCTCAGAAGGGAATTTTAGCCTCTGCACACCGGCCTTTACCTTCACACAAGTTTCCATTACGCCCGGGGCTCGCAGTCGCATCTGACAGGTAGCTGCCCTGGAAACTTTAAACCTGTGCAGCTTAGAGAAGATGCAGGAACACACCTGTGTACAGTGGAACCTCAGTTCTCGAGCTTAATTCCTTTCAGACAAATAGCTGTTCGAGAAGCTATTTGTTTGAAAACCCAATCATTTTTCCCCATTAAAAATAATCTAAGTTGAATTCATTCATTCCAGACGCCCAAATGATTCCGTTTTAACCTTTCTTATATAAAGTACATGTCTAATGTACTGTTTCATCTATAAACAAACAACTCTTTCTTAAAATTTATTGAACCAGCCCCTACTGGCCTTAAACGAATCACTTTCAGCACTCCTTCCAGGGTTATCTTTCAGGAGATCAGATGTAGCATCTTCGCTTTTTCACACGTCACTGCCCCTGAAATGCTGTCACTGGGAACTGCTTTCCCTTTATCCACATCAACCATTTTCTACCTCTCCAATGGCCTGTAATCGTCATTTTGTGAGCACTTTCACACCCTTAGCAACATCAGCATTCTTGATAGCCTTTTTATATTTTAAAATTGTATTAATCATCCATTTCAACAGCAAAAAACAAAAACAAAAAAGACAAACAAACATAAAAACCAATGGCAACAAACACGTGAGGCGGAAACAAGAGTGACAGCAGCACGCTAGGGTCACTGTTCTCATTCTCTGATGCCCTTCGGTGTTGAATGTGGCCCCCGAGACACCATTTCCTCACATCATGTTGTTTATGTCCACCCTATGGCCCTGCAAGTATTTATTCTGTTACTTTGTTGAGCCCCAAAACTAGTCAGTGAAATTACTAGCAGACATAGCCTTTGATTCATGTATCATAAAGGACCAAAGAGTTGTTAGGCTGTGCAGAAGTCTATGGAATCACAATGAGTTGGCTGAGTCCCTATTCCTGGCTCAGATGATGCTGGGAACACAGAAATATCTCGTGGCAGGTGTTCCAGGAATCTTGTTATGTGACACACTACTCCAATAACTAGTGGCTGAAAACAGCCTTGTAGTCTGTGCCATGGTTTTGTGAATCCGAAGTTGGTCAGGGCTCAGCCAGGTGACTCTTCTGCTCTATGCGGCATTGACAGAGGTCCCATTGACATAGGGCTGGTCTGGACGGTCCAAGGCTGACACCTGGCAGTAATGGCTGGAGGCTGGGCTCAGCTGGGACTGCACAGAGAGCCCATGAGGGGTTTCATGAGCCTGGATCCAGGGTAGTCTTACTGAGTATGTGCGCCTCAGGGCTCCACGAGCAGCTGCTCCCAAGGACATAGTAGAGGCTACGTGTAGTTTTATGATCTAGTCTCAGGTCACGTGGCATCACTTCCATACTGTATTGGTCAAATCAGTCACCAGCCCACCCACATCCAAGGGAAGAGGACAGAGACCAGAACTTGCAACTACGTTTTACAAGCAGAGCTGTGGAAACCAGTTTAGAGGTTCCTCAATAGGTTAACAGAATTCCCATGTGACCCAGCAATTCCACGCCTGGGCATATACCCAGAAGAACTGAGAACAGGTATTCAGACAAAAACCTGAACAGGACTGTCCGTGGCAGCACTATTCTCGCTAGCCAAAAGGGGAAGCCACCACAATGTCCCATCGACAGGTGAATGGATACACAAAATGTGGTCTGTCCGTACGATGAAATGTTCGGCCACAGAACATCTGTGGACGGAGTGAAGCTCTGATCCACACTACGTGAGGAAAGTGTGGCCACATATTATCAATTCAATTTATATGAACTATCCAGACTAGGCAAATCTAGAGAGTTATAAAAACAAAAAAACAAAACAAAAAAAACCCAGTGGTGGCTGCCTGGGAATTGTGTGCCTGAGGGAAGGGAAAAGGGAGGCTCCTTACTGGGCACAGCGTTCCCGTTGGGTGATGAAAAGGTCTGGGCCTGGGCAGGAGGCAACACCTCGAATACACGAGTGGAAAATTTTATGTGTATTTTACTACGATTTTAAAATAATGAGTTGTGTGTGTTGGGGCGGGGGGTGCAGGGAGGGGGGTTAAGTGGCCCCACATGGTTCACACCCTCTCAGAGTTCAGTTCAGGAGGAAGAGTTCCTTAGATACGTTTTCCTCTTGCTCGGTTATCCTAGAACAGTTACCAGCTTCTGAGAACCAGAGTTTCAAGTCACGGGAAAGATTCCTCTGTTCATAGTGCTCTCCTGGGGCGTGTCTGTCTTCTGGACCCTTGCTGCCAGTTTGTAGCTGGTCGGGTCCTTTTCCCTTTCCCGCAGTGGGGAGCCTGCAGGCCCCGGGGGACAAGTGCATAATTACAGGCCTGACTGTGAGCCAGGGTCACACCACTGGACCTGAGTGCTGGTTTCCTCTCTGTTAGTGGAGCCCATGGTCCCTGCCAACAGGTTCCTGGGAAGGAGAAGGCGGAGCACAGCATTCAGTACAGTTAATGTGATCGCTATGATTTTTAGCGTGAAAGGGACCATGGTATGAGGAAGCCAGAGTCTCTGTGTGGACCCAGGTTTGCACGCTCCCAGCCAGATCTGCTTTCTCCGCAGGAATTCATCCGCCTGGGAAGCCTCAGCAAGCTCTCCGGGAAGGGGCTGCAGCAGCGCATGTTTTTCCTGGTGAGTGGTGAGAGCTGCTTGTCCTCACCATGGTCCGTGGTCCACAGGGCCAGGCCTCTGCTGCCCAGGGGGGGCACCTGGGAGGCAGGAGGAGCAGCTTTGCTGCTCAGCTTGGAGTTGTTGAGATCAACGAATTGTCATGCAGTATTTTGAAAACACTTTCTGCACGTTCTGGTTTCAAATGGAGCCCATGCATCTCAGCTGCACTTGTCCTTGTCCTCTAGTTCAACGACGTCTTGCTGTACACAAGCCGGGGACTGACGATCTCGAATCAGTTTAAAGTGCACGGGCAGCTCCCGCTCTACGGCATGACCGTGAGTACCAGCCCGGCACGAGACTTGGCCTCGCCCTCTGGGCTGCCTGCAGTTTGTGTGCCTGGCCGAAGGGAGCCTGAGCCAGTGACGGTGACGTGGGGAAGGAAAAGGAGGGACTTGACAAGGAAGTGAGAGCATCCCAGGTGCCTCGGGAACCCTCACCGGTTCGGGCTCCCTGGAGAGGTGGTGGGACCTGGCTCCTCTGCATGTGGGGTTCGTGGGCATCCTGCTTCTGGAATTAAGTGAAGAGGCAAGATGACGTGGCCATGTGGGGTGAACGTGCCTCCCACGGCGCTGTGCCTGGCCCTGGGGCCCTGAGACGATCCTCACCACCCACGTGGAGTCACGGAGCCCCAAGATGTGCCAGTGGACAGGTGTCCGTATTCTGTGACCCTGGGCTGGCAGATGCAGCCAGGCCAGTCAGCACAGGATTGCTCCCTGGCACATACCCACATTCTCCTCGGTGGTTGGCTGAAGGGCAGCGTCTGAGCTCTACCGGAAACTATCCAGTGCCTTTTGATCTTTCTTTTCCCTTTCTGGTTAATTTTCTGACTTGTTTCTCCGGGCCATGGCCCTTTCAGTGAGCATCTGAAAACGCACTGAGTGTCTTGCTTGCTCCTTGGTAGTAACGTTCCGAACGCTCACCCCACAGATCGAGAAAAGTGAAGACGAGTGGGGCGTGCCCCACTGCCTCACCCTGCGGGGCCAGCGGCAGTCCATCGTCGTGGCCGCCAGGTAACACGGGGCCCTCTTCCCTGTTGACCCTTCGACCTGCTGTGGTCTGAGAACCTGACGTCCGTCTCTTCTTCAGCTCCCGGTCCGAGATGGAGAAGTGGGTTGAGGACATACAGATGGCCATTGACTTGGCAGAGAAGAGCAGCGGCCCCACTCCCGAGTTCCTCGCCAGCAGCCCCCCTGACAACAGTAAGCGTGGGGAGGCCCCCTGCCCCCAGGAATTAGCTGAGGGGCGGGCAGCTCGGGCTTACAGAGGGTGAGCAGCCCATGCACTTAAAGTCACCTTACCTGGTGGGCCTCAGATCCGTGGACTACATTCAAACTTAAAGATAAAAATCAAGGAAATTCCATTTCCTAAAAATATAAAAATCCTTAAAAGTGAGCGAGCAGAGCAGGGAAGGCACCTTTTCTGGGCCAGCATCGCTGCTTGTCATACGGAATGTGACCGACCAGGGAGAGGAAGCAGGCTATCCACATGCTGGGCAAGCAGCGGCCCCGTGCCCAGGTGTGCTGGGGCCCCCAGGGTGGGACCCTGACAGGCAGGTGGCTACTAGTGTGACTTCCTGCTCAGTGGCTGCACTGGGGACCTGGGACCACATCACTGAGTGCCCCCAGCCATCCAGGCCCGTTCAGCTCCCGGGAGGGCTCAGGAAAGGGCCCCTCTGGCCAGCAGAGATCAGAAGCACTGCCTTTTGCCACATCCACAGAGTCCCCCGATGAGGCCACAGTGGCCGACCAGGAGTCCGAGGACGACCTCAGCGCCTCCCGCACCTCGCTGGAGCGCCAGGCCCCCCACCGCGGCAACACCATGGTGCACGTGTGCTGGCACCGCAACACCAGCGTCTCCATGGTGGACTTCAGCGTGGCCGTGGAGGTACCGGCCGTGACCCTGGGGTCGGTGGGGGAGGGGGGCCAGGACAAGGATGACTCATCCTTTGAGCATTTGGCTCGCCCTCTCAGGTGAATGCGACCACGTCTCTCGGCCTTTCGTTTCGTCCCCACAGCTTTTGTTCTCTGGCCATCTCCATCTCCCCCAGTTTCCTTTCCTCTCATGGAGTCAGCGGGGGGGGGGGGGGGGGGGGGGGACTGTCGTGCATTTAGCCATGTGTCCGCGCCAGAGACAGAGAAACGGCCCCGGTGCCAGCGGATGGAGAGCTCCCAGCGCCGAGGTTGCCGCGTCCTAGAGCAGCCACCCCACACACCTGAATCGGGTGCGAGGAGGCAGAAGGGTCAGAAGGCTGACCCCAGCCAGGGCCATGGCACAGCCTCCCCGGGGGGCTCTGGGAGGTGTCCTGAGTTAGCTTTGGTGGTGGGGCCCCCAGATTGTGACCGCACCTTCCAGAATCCTCCAAACCCCATTCCCCAAGTAGTCCAGGCCCATAATCCCCACCCTTTCAGAAAACGCCACAGCCAGCAAGCTCTGAAACCACCAAGTTCTCCTCTGGTCCCACTGGCAGCAGAACCTGGCCTGAGTGGTTGAGAAGCTTGGACTGTGTTTTGTGTGAATGGCCATGTTTCACCATACAATCGCCGTGTCTGGTTCTGGGTGGCGCCCAGGCCCCGCTGCCGGGCTGCTATATGGTAGACGCATGGGATTATCTTTCTAAAACCTGAGAGTTCTGAATTCCTAAAGAGCCTGGCCCAAGCTGTGCCCCGTGAGAGACTGCCAGGAGCATCGGTGTGTTCACTCTTTGAACCAGCAGTATTGGGGACATGTCACACATTCCCTGGCGGACGGTGGTCTGCAGGGATTCTGAGGTTGTTTTCTGGAGGTGACCTTCACAGCTCCGTGGAGCTGCTGATTTCGAGTTTGCCTGCTAGAGTCCTAAACCCGGATCTGCTTTTGAAGACACCCTCAAGGGGACACTGAGGCTCCCCGAGCCGCACCTGGCCTCCCATGGGCTGCAGGGAACATCCCTCTCCGCCCCCGCGGGCAGCCTCTTCCCTCCCACAGGCCCTCTGAGTCTGTACTCAGCTTCTCCCTCCCGTCACACTGGGTCTGCCTGCAAAACTTGCCAGCTGGGGATTTCTTCCAGGGAACAGGGATCTTTCCAGCCAGGGGAGTGGGGAAGAACCCGGGACCGTCTGGTGGGAAAACACCTGATCAGACCCAGCCTAGTCCAGTGCAGCTGGTGTGAGTGCAGCGCGTGAGGGGGCTCGTCTCTGCCTGCTCCACACCATCCTCCGCGAGGTGAGGTGTAGTTAGGACTGTCAAGGCGTGGGACCTCTCGGCTCGAAACGTAGGTCATTCAAGAATGTAGCAAATACCCAAGGGAGGTAGGTCATGGGCAGCCCAGACGCTTCCTCAGGCCAGCTCTTTCCGGGTGGCCGTCCACACAGCTGCAGTCCTTCGTCCATATGGTCGGGTGAGTCTAGCAGCCGAGTCAGCGGACTGCAGCCCCTGGGCCAAATCCTGCCCAGCCCTGGGTATTTACAGCCCATGAGCCAAGAACGGGTTTTATTTTGAGTGGCTACTACAAATGCAAATATCTTTGATTTTGCCTCTTGGCCTGAAAAGCCCCAAATGTTTATTGTGTGGCCCTTGGAGAAGTTTGCCAAGAATTATAGAGCATGAAAGCAAGCCCCTAGGTGTGGTTTTAAGGTGGCAAACATGCAGGTTAAACACACGGAACTGACTCATCTGTCACTGCAAACACCCCTCCCTTGCCAGATCCCCCTTCCCCAGGCGCATGCCTTCAGCCTGATGTCCATGCTGGGCTCCTTTGGGTGCCAGATGCACGCCCCACCCCGACTGACAGGCGAGCTCCCCTCTTCTAGGCCCGGTCCCTGCCGTCGGCAAAGGGAAGCAAGCAGCTCCTTCCTTCTCACTCTCCGCTCCCTCTCCCAGGTGTCTCCTGTAGGACTCGCACGGGTAGAAATGAGTAACGGGGAGGTTTGGGGACACCACAAAGATGAGCTACAAGTCTGGTCAAGCCAGCGGGCACTGGGGTTCACGCGAGGCTGGGATGGTCAGCAGGCAGCCTCGCCTTCGGAGGGATCAGAGGCGAGATGATCAACGTTATTTTAAGACTGACGTTAGGAGGCGGCAGAGATCCGGGAGGGAACTGGATACAGTGAGGCTCAGGATGGAAGGACGGCACTGAGGGAGAGTCGGCGGCAGGCACTTAGCTGTCTGTGGCTGCCACAGAGTATCTTCTAACCCTGCTGGAGGGCAGCGGTCCCAGAGCAGATGTCGGCTCCTGCTGGAGGCCCTGGGGAGGGTCTGCTCCACGCCTCTCGGCTTCTGGTGATGACCAGCAACCCTTGGTGTGCCTAGGTTTGTGGACGCATCGCTCTGACCTCAACCTCCGTCTCACTGGGCAGTATGGCTGTATGTCTCGTGTTAAAATGTCGTCCTCATAAGGACAATAGTCATCGGAATTAGGACACCCCCCCCCCCCCCAGTATGACCTCCTTCTAACTTGCTAACATCTGCGCATAGGCCTGGTTTCCAAATAAGATCACCTCCACAGGTATTAGGACTTTGGACTTGAACATACATTACACCCAACAGGAACTGAGCAGTTTGGAAGCCAGGGAGAGGGGAGAGGAGGCCACTGTGAAAGACAGCAAGGAAAGGGGGTGTCAGCTGCTCTGGGGCAAGGATGGAGACTGGTCCTGACCTAAGAGTCATCCTCAGAGACCGTAGTGGAGGCAGTTTCAGTGGCACTGGGAGGCCAGGCCAGTGGGAATGGTTAAGGAGCACCTAGGCTGTTACTCAGAGTTTATACCCTCGCGTGTTCCAGAAAGGATTTAAGGTGGTGGCAGGTAGAGCGTTCTCTTGAACCTGCCTCAATCCAGTGCGTATACCACACGGTGGGGCTGGCTTGCTCCACAGATAATGGCATCTGAGAGAGAGGTCTTTCGGACTATCGGGGGGAATTTGATTCAGTATAAACACATGAACTATAAGGAAAAGAACGCGTGCTGTCCTCCTCGTCTCGTGTGATGCACTGTGATGTTGCAGCAGCACCACATCCCCAACTCTGGTTGTGCCATCACCTGCTGGGACCCAGGGCACACCACCCCCCCCGGTTCTCTGTGCCTTTCAGCCAGTAGGTGAGTGGCAGCCAGACATGGGGATAGGACACCCCCTCCCTCTGTGGCATCCCCCTCGGTTCAGCTGACTCCAGTCCACAGGACGGGCTCTACTTCCTGTGTCCTGTCAACACATCTCAACTCCCGCCTTACTTAAAGGGGTACTCTAAATGTTTATTGGGTGAAATGCAAGTTACTGGATAAGTACCAAAGGGATAGAAGTCGACTCAGAATACTTTTTACGCATCTTGTTAATTGTGGCGGACGTGGCCATGTAACCACTGTAAGTGAACAAACAACTCGGTCACATCCACAAGTGTCACCACCCACCATGTTCCTCCTCGGGAGTCTCCCTGGGAATGAGCTGCCCTCAGGGGCGTGGACGGCCTCCTTGGTGTCCTCTTCACAGCCGGTGACGGAGGGGCGCTGGGGAGCCCGCGAGGACGTGCACCTCTGCGCGCGGTGTCGCCTCGGCTGCCTGGCAGTTGACAGCAGTGCTGTGTGGCCACGGGCTCCCAACATGCCCAGGAATGCCCGTCTCTACCAGTCACTTCTTTTAGCTCCTGGGGAGAGGTCACCTCTCCCAAAAGCCAGTGTTCTGCCTGGGCCACTAGATGGCAGCCAGGAGCTGCGGGCGGGGGCTCAGTGAGGGCTCCCAGTTCAGGGGTGTTGGATCCCTCCCTGTGGCTGCCATAACAAGGCACTGCCAATGGGGTGGCTTAACGAGATGTGTCATGACTCTGGAAAGCTAGGTGTCAAGAGGGCCAGCTCCCTCTAACACTTGTAAGGGAGGATCCCTCCTTGCTCTTCCCCCTTCTGTGGTTTGCTGGCCTTCGGCTCGTCCGTCACTGCAGTCCGCCTCTCCTCTCGCATAAGGACGTCAGCCACGGGGACTAAGGGCCTGCCTTGCTTCCTTACAGTTGACTCTTAATTATAGCTGTGAGGACGCTATTTCCAAGGCCACATTCTGAGGTATTGGGGTTAGCACATCTTTTGGGGAAGATGGGGACATAATTCAACCCAAAATAGGTGACAGAAAGAATTAATCCCATCATGCGGTCCACCTACCAGGGAGAAAGGCCATTGTCAGTCAGTCTCAGGGAGCCCCCCTGGACTGAGGAGCCTGTGGTCCTTCCCACAGGCCCAGGTGTCTGGGCCTCCACCTGTGCGTCTTACAGGCCAACTTGTCTTTCAGAATCAGCTGTCTGGGAACCTGCTGAGGAAATTCAAAAACAGCAACGGGTGGCAGAAGCTGTGGGTGGTGTTCACAAACTTCTGTCTGTTCTTCTATAAGTCACACCAGGTATGTGCCCCCAACCCCACCCCCACCCCCGCCCAGGGAGAGGCCCTGTGACCCTTGGAATAGAGCATTCAGTGTGCAGCCTGGGGAGAGCCTTAGGGACCCCCAACACCACACCCTCCCCGTCATGGGGCAGGCATGGAGAGAAAGCAGCCAGGTGTCGGAAGGGGGCCTACAAGACGCCATATCCATGAGACCCTCGACTCAGGTGGAGGCTGACATCATTTGCTGAAGGGCGACCTGGGTGCTGGATGGCTGGGGAGGGGCAGCGACGGGGTTGATGGCCTGTGTCCTGGCTGGGACGCACTAGCTGGCCCACAGAGCACGGGCCGGGACCAAGTGCCTCGGCTCCCAGAGCGGCTGCAGGGTAAGAGGCTGCAGCCGGGCTCAGCGCCTGCGGCCACCTCTCCAACACCCCCTTCTGTTGGCCTTTCCAGGACAATCACCCCCTGGCCAGCCTGCCCCTGCTGGGCTATTCGCTCACCATTCCCTCGGAGTCCGAGGACATCCACAAGGACTACGTGTTCAAGCTGCACTTCAAGTCCCACGTGTACTACTTCCGGGCCGAAAGCGAATACACGTTTGAAAGGTAAACATCCCCCCAGCAGAAAAAGGCCACTCATCCCTTAAACAATAGGATTTCTCCCAGGCAAGCTGCTAGGAGAGCCCGCTGTGGGCATCCCCGCCCTTGTCCTGACCCTGGCAGGTGCTGAGGATAAATCAGGGTCTCTCCACAGAGTCCCCTTCTGCTCCCAGAGAAACATCCTTCATCCTTAACCTGCAGTGCTAGTTAACACTACACACTTTTAAATCTCTTACGGGTGTTTATCAGTCTGTGGCATCTATAGCTGTTTAGTCCTAACATTCCTGATGGGCTGCGGTCAAAGGCTAAGTTTCCGTCAAAAGACCACATGAGGAAGGGAAGGAATCCTGGTGCCTCTCGGAGTTACCTTATTAGTGAGAGACAGTGCGAGAGCCGAAAACAAACGTAAAATGGAGAGAGCAGGCCACCATGCTTGCCCAGTGGCTTCAGTCTGTTCCTGAAATGTCAAGGGTAATTCTGGGCCCCTGGAACGGCACCCTGATGAGACTATGTAAGCTTCTGTCAGTCCTCAGGCCACAGACAGGGCAGCAGTCCCCACCCTGTTCAGGGAGAAAATTCTCACTAACTTATTTCCCCACCACCTACTGACACTGACCCCACAAGGGTTTCTAATCGCTGGGCTGGCTTTGCTCTGTGCACAATCCCCAGTGAAGAGAGCACAGTGGCTTAACATCAGGGCCACCTCCCACAGCAGCAGTCTCCACGCTGTACTGCCTGAGCCGTGAGCCGGGGCACAGCAATTCTCAAATCTGATCCTGGGCTAGGAAATTTACCCAAGGTGGGATCCTGTCACTATTGTGGCCAGGATACGTCAGCCTTCAGTGTGAGACCCTAAAAAGCCTGATGATTACGGAACGGCCAAAGCCCCGTGTGGCCCCGTGAAGACAGGAGGCGCGGCACATCCAGGTTCTCTCAGCCTCAGCACCGCCAACATTTAGACCAGATGATTCTGTGAGGGTCTGTGCTGTGCACTGCAGGTGCTTAATGGCAGCACCCCTGGCCTCTACCCCTAGATGTCAGCACTCCCTCTGTTGTGACAACCAGCAGCGTCTCCAGAAAACGCCAGTGTCCCCAGGTATCTGAAAACTACCAGGATCCCACATACTCAAACACAGAAAACAGGGCGGGATGCACACCAGGGTCTGAAGGGTTATAAGACAGAGCGTTCGTTCCTAAACAGCCAGGCGCCGCCTCACCTCTCACTGCTCTAAAGAGATGGGCTGCCACATCTTGGGCAAGGCACATCCACAGGGAGGTCAATGGTCCTCAAACTGAGACTGGGGAACATCTGCAGGCACCCTAACCCTGCTCTCTCTGCAGGGGGTGCTGAGAGTTCATTGAAGAACTCTTCATCTGCTAAAATGGCAGATTACAAATAAGAAATCGGAGACGTACGTTTGTAAAAGGCCCTGACAGCCGTTTTGCTTTCTTGCTCTAGGTGGATGGAGGTGATCCGAAGTGCCACCAGCGCGGCCCCCCGCGCCCACACTCTGAGTCACAAAGAATCCCACGTGTACTGACGGCAGGACGCCGTCAGCTGGCTCAGCCGTGGCTGCTTTCCGGGCAGCCGTTCTCTATCAATGATGCCTAGTAAAATGAACGCCTGTCTGGAAAACACCAACATGGTTTTACAGCATCTCTCACCTGTCTCTGCAGAACCATTTCTAACCTTGTCTTTCCACTGTTCATTTCCCATCTGAACGGAAGTGCTCCCACCTCCGATGCTGGCGGCATTTTCTGTCATTCCCTCGACGGGCTGTTTTTAGCTTGTGCCAGTATTAAAACATTGTCATTAATATAGTGCCAAATGACAACTTTTCCTCCACGACTGCACCTTAAAGCAGTACAAACACATCCGTTTGACAAAAGACAGGGCAAGTGCTCTTTTTTCTTTTTCTAGGCTGCTGCATTTTAAGAAAACGGATTCTCCAGTGTTTGCAATACACATGGCACAGTCTTAAGCAAATGAGATCATTTTCAGATTTCGTTTTTTTTCAATCTTTCTACTTTTATAATAATAGGAAGTTACTCCTTTGATTAGTAAGCGATTTGCCGCACACTACGTGCCACCCTGGGGTCTCGTGCTCCAGTGAGACGCTGGCTCCCAGACCCACTTCCTGGTGCAAGCTGACCAAATTGTTCAAGTGATGACTATTTACAAACCGCAGCAGGTTGTTTTCTGCTAAGAGAAGCATAAGTCCAGTGCGATGTCTAGACTATCACTGTACTGTGTGTGAGTGGTATATACAATGGGAAGATATTAAGCTGTGGGTGTTTTGCTGTCTGTTTCACAAGCATGAAAACCTGTATATCAGTAATCAGGGCCATTTGTGATGTTACGTTACGGGATTTGTGAGCTTCTGTGGGTGTAAAAGCACCATGAAGGATGGTGCGTAGTCCCCCGGCACCCATCGTCATACCTATCTATATCCTACTCAACTGTGGTTCGGAACTGCGCATTCAATAGTAGTATATATTGTGCCTGTCTTCAAAAAACATTCTTTTTCCTTTTTTATACTCATTCCCCCAGGTACGGGGTAGGACAGTATGACATTGCACAACCTTGACAGTCGGACAACACAGGGAACATGGTTTCCAGTAATGCTGGGCCCACTAGTCAAAACCTGTTTGCCTATTCTCTGTGAGAGCGGTGGCTGCTATTCCCGTGTTCTTAAGCCCTTTCTGACGCAGTCCAGAGGGGCGGCCAATCGACGCAGTCCTCCCCGTCCTGCACCACCGCTGGGAAAGCCCTCCCCCAAGACACGCAGGACCACCCAACTCCGTGGAGCTGTGACTGACCGCGCGGAATCGGCGATGTACAAATGGACGAGTAGCTCGAGACGTGTTAATCATTTGCCTTACGATGTGTACCAGATGGTTTTAAGTACTAACAAAAGGGAATAAAAATACCTCACGCCACAATCCAGCATATTGAAGTTTTAAGGCAAAACAACCCACCTTGTCTCTTGGCTTTATTTTCATCTAATTCGGGTGGGTTGGTGCGTCTGCCGGCGAGGGCGGAGCTGGCTGGTCACTGCGGGTGAATGTGAAAAGGAAAACCAGACTCGATCCCTCTTGAAGACGGCGTTTTGAAAAGCTTCCTATTTCATAGTCTCTGCACTCAGAGACCGGGCATGTCTAGGAGACTGATCCCGGTGGCTATATAAGACAAGGACTAAACCCCAATGGAGGAGGGTGAAGCAGACAGGGAGGGGCCCTAGAGATGAGTTCCCTGAGGCTGCTCCCACACACGCCCCAGGGGCAAGACCAGCACCCTGGGAGGCTGAAGCGCGGGTGCACGGAGCAGCCAGGATGGCAGAGGCAGGAGCAGGGAAACTCCCACCTCAGTATTTCTGAAGGATTCCAACCCATTTGCTGGAAACGGTTCAGATCTATGAGTAGCACCTCTGTGCTCCCTGCTACCCTGTGACTTCAAAGAAAACCAAAGTCTGGTGTGACTCAGTGGTTGAGCGTAGACCTATGAACCAGGTGGTCACTTCAATTCCCGGTCAGGGCACGTGCCTGGGTTGCAGGCTCGATCCCCAGGGGGCGTGCAGGAGGCAGCTGATCAGTGATTCTCTCATTGATGTTTCTCTCCCTCTCCCTTCTCTAAAATCAATAAAAATATTAAAGAAAGAAAACTAAGTCCAAACCATGTGGGCAATTCACTGCCCCCAAGCTGCTGGGAACAGTTTCAGAACCACCCTGTCTTGGTCCATCCCGGCTACTATCACAAAAATGCCAGACTGAGGGGCCTTGTAAAGGACAGAGATGTCTCTTACAGTTCTGAAGGCTGTGAAGTCCAAGATGGAGGTGCCGGCAGACTCGGTGTCTGCTGAGAGCCTTCCTGGGTCACAGCAGCATCGATGCGTCCTCACATGGTGGAGGGCGAGGGATTTCTGCGGTCTCTCTCATCGCATCAGGAAGGCTCCGCCCTCATGACCTAATCACTCCCTCCTAGTGCCATCGCCTGGGCATTAGGATTTCAACATAAATTTGGGGTGGGGGTAAGTTCACTCTATTCCCTCTACACCAGCGATTCTCAACCTGTGGGTCGAGACCCCTTTGGGTGTCGAACGACCCTTTCACAGGGGTCACCTAAGACCATCGGAAAACATATAATTACATATTGTTTTGTGATTAATCACTATGCTTTAATTATGTTCAATTTGTAACAACATGGGGGGTCACCACAACATGAGGAACTGTATTAAAGGGTTGCAGCATTAGGAAGGTTAAGAACCACTGCTCTACACATAAGACACGAACTTACAAAAATCATTGTTTTCTGTGAACTTTATTGACCCTTGCGTGATACAGTACCTGTGCTTAAGAACACACCTTGCAGCACTCCCCATTTATTGCCATATTTTATAGCAGAAATACAGAAGCCGTTTTTTTTTTAAGGAAGAACATATAAAAACGCTTATAAACAGACCATATGTTTTGCCAAAAGAAAGGTACAAATGCTACGTGAAGAATTAGACACTCCACAAGACCAACTTGAGAACAAAACTGTCAGATTCGGAAGGTGTGTGGCACTTGGTTACATCAAGATGGCCCCCTGCCTCGATTTCCAAAAGGTGGTAGCTGTGCTTGTGTGTGAAACCGTCTCCCCCGCTGGGAGCGCCACCACCATCTGCAGTCTCTGGATAAGCTCTCAGCTGCGGGGGTTTGGCATCGAGAGACTTCCGAGTGTTAGTAAATCCATCCTGAACGCTGAGCTCCAGGTCCGGCTGGCTACACACCAACAGCAGTCTACATGGTCGGAGGCAGGTCCCCTGGTAGCTCTGGAACCTGATCTGTCTTTAATAAAGGACTTGACGTGGACACCCAAATGCTAGCCTCCTTGGCTAAAGAACATGCCCTTAAAAACACAAGCTGAGTCTGTGTGTCTACAGAAAGTAACAGATCAGAAGAGATTGTATAAGGAAGTGATCCATTTTAACATTCAGTTAAACCACATCTTTCCCAGGAAGCTACTTCCAACAGAAGATACTTCCAACAAACTAAGAGAGTCGTTTTCTACTTTATCTGGGAGACAGCATTGTGTATCATAATCTAGTGATTGCAGAATATCTACTACCCATTACTCGTATTTAAGATTGGCTTCAGCGTCGTCTTGATATGCCATTGTCCACTGGCAAATTGTAGGAACTTTAAATCAGCTGCTGTCTAGGTTGTCCGTCTTAAATCAGACAAGCACTTTGGGGGAACACTGCTCGTTCTTTGAGTGATTCTCCTGTAATGAGCAAAAGTGATCTTTGGCTTAGGCCTCACAAAGGGAAATCAAAGCTCCCGCACACAGAATACTCTTGGAAACACAAAAGGAAACACAATTTATTGTTCAAGTTAACATCCTTGCTGCAGAATAAGCATGTACAATAAGAATTAGCAATTCAGTTCTGTGGCCCCTAACCAAAGTGTATCCTTTATAGAAATTTCACCCAAATCTACTTCTAATTTAAAAAACAAAATTTAATTTTAGGATTTAAAGCTAGACTCCACTACCAAACCTAAACAATAACCACCCACTCCAACGTCTCTCACTCGGGCTCCGTCCTCTCTCGTTAACTTCCAGGCCACTAGGCCGACAGGTTCCTGACCTTCCATCCCAAAGTTTACCCGGTAACTCCCTTGCCTCCGAAAGTCCTGTCTTCCCCTCAAGAACTGCGACACCAACAAGAGGTGACAATGATTCATATCAAAAATATAAAAGGGCCATGCATACTTCAATCAGACAGTCGAATTGCTGCAAGAACTCTATTCTCATACCACAAACCCAGAGACTGGTGCCCCATTGGCAAGCAAGACCCTGTCACAAGCCAAGAAAAGTAGACACCTGGCTGCCAAGCTAGCGGACACAGGCTCCTGTATGAGAACAAAATAACCCTTAACTGAGGTCCCTGGGAAGAGAGAGCACAATTTTACAAATCAGCAGAATTCAACCCTATCTTCTCAATGACTAATTTTTAAAGTTGCATAGGGAACTGACCTGAACATCCAGCATTTTGAATTTGGGCACTTCTTCCTAGAGCATTCTAAAATGCCTCATCTCACCACACAACCACACACACACACAGCAGGCGCGCTGCCCTCTCGAGTCACGTTTCAGAGAGAGTATGCAAGGAAAGTGTTATAAAATTTATTCATGTGAGCATCCAGACATTTTAGGTGGGAAAGACGATATGCAGCTTTCACTACAAGCTGCAACAAAATCATATGGGAGAACGGACAGCTGGCGCGGCGCTGGCAGTGGAACGATTCCAAACGAATGTGAGACGAGAGCACTTCATTGGGGAGAAACTTAAAATAATAATTTAAAGCTTCATGACACAAGATATGTTCCAATTTAAAACACTAAGAAATAGTACCATCAATGAAAAAGGAAATCAACTTCTAAGTGTACCAAAAGGGTTGTAGGGCAAACGAGGAAAATTTGCATTTGTTGAGGTACAAATAGGAGTGTTCCTTAAGAGGGGCATTAATTATTATTAATGGCAAACCCTGCAAATACAAAATAAAACCCAAATCACTGGTCACATAATTCAAAATTTACATGTAATAAAGGCAAGGCAATAGACTCAAGTTATGGCCTGTCAAATATTTACTCCACTGACATTATCTACAGAAGCACTTGGCCAATTTGTACACAGTGATTCCTTATGCACGCCAAAAGGGTTTCCGTGAAAATGACACTATATACAAATCTGTACACTGAGCCACCAGAGCGATTCTCCGTCTCCCGGGGAGGGAGCACAACTTAAAGCAGGATACCTGAGGTTTCATTTCTTCAGTTGCCTTATCATAATCCCAAATATACATTTCAGGGTGTGTATTTGTTTTTAAAGACACTTTCCTTGATATGTGCACTATGGTTAAAATTAAAAACAAGAATAATAAAATAAAATGATCGCTGGAAGGAGCTGACCCTCCCCACCCATCTAGACTCATCCGGCCAAGGCCAGCGAGGAAGGACGCTGAGGCCTGTATGGGCAGCCTCGGCTGGGCCAGCCCTCGGTGCAGCTCTTCAGCGGAGTCAGCAAAGGCTCTCGTTGACTGTTTAAAAGGAGCAGGATGAAGAAGAAAGAAAAATCAAAACCCCAAATGCCAAAGGAAGTTCAGTGGGACGAAGTTCCTCCACCACTTAGCGAGTATCTAGGAAAAAACAGAGAAATAGAAACAAATGTCATTTCTCAAAATTATAAAATTAATTTGCAAAAATTCAAACAATAACCAAAGTCCTATTAATTTTCATACACTGCCAAGTCATCAAAATATGGAGCAACTATCAATGGATTATTATATAAAGAATTCATAAAAATGAACAAAATCATGTTCCAACAACAAATTTTCCGAGAAGTTAAATTCAGCCACAAAAGAACTGAAAGTATGTAATAAAAAGTGAGACAGTGGTTCAGCCTTTCAGGAGAGAAAACCGTATGACTAAAACAGTAAATGATACACCTTTACTTATAATCAGATTGAAAAATCAGTATTAACCAAAGACAGAGTAAGAGTCCAGGAATGCACAAACATGGCTGGTTTGAGGACCAGTGTAAAGAAACACTTTTGGCCACAAAAAAACTGAGGCTTGCTCAGGTCCCCTCCTTCCTGAAATGGTCGCTTGGGTTTTCTGTAATTACAGTAATTAGGAAGCACTCTGATGTCCAACAACAGAGAAATGGTTATGTAAATTAACCGCCTGAATAAAATAACATATTAGAAATTGTAATATTTAAGCAATGCAATCTATACACAAATCAATAAGTGTGCGCAAAATTGTACAGTTTTACAATCTGTTTATCCCAAACACATACAAAAGAATGCCCCAAAAAGTATGTGTGCACTATACTTTTCAGAAATGTAAAAAATTAGTAAGTTCACGACATTTATAATAATGGAAGGCAATGCACAAAAAATGTTGATAATGGGCTAGAATAGTGGGATCAT